ACTGCACAGTTTTGCTTCCTAGGGAGGACGTGGATCTATGAAGTCCCCACTTCTCCCTCTGCACAACCCTGCTGCAAGTTGACAGAATTAGTTCCTTTGGTTTGCTACATATGAAACTCCAGCTGTCTGGTTTAGAGAATGTCTTTGGTGTGCTGCAGTTTCACAATATAAATGCTCAGTCATGGAGTTGACTGCTGCTCATGATATGTCTTCCAGCATATAAAAAAAAACACTGTATGTACATGTCAGCAAGGTAAAATCTTGATTTTTGCCAGGCAGGTCTTTAAGATTCTGATAAAAATCATAAAAAAAACATCTTTGTGTGTTCTTTTTCCACTTTGGCCTGCATGTCAGGTTACAGCAATAGATGAATAAGAGGCAAAATGAGGTAGCGTTATAAAATTATCATTCTGAAATGTTTGTCATCATCCCTGCAGCACCCTGTGAAAACTGGGCCAGGGTGCTTGGAATTGCCTTTGTTACCAAATCACATCAGGTCACGTTTATAAATGCATCTTGATATAGTAAAAACAAATGATTCCAGTAATCTTGAATGTAAATGTAACTGTGCTGGTTTCTCCACTCTAAGTACATTTGCCACACTTAGTAGGTTACACGTAAATTAAGCCTGACTGTAACAGAAGCTTATACAGCTCAGCGTGAGTTCAGTATTTCAAAGCTAGATGGTGGATGGTGTTGCATTCAAACTCAAGAGCAAGTGAATGCTAATTAACTGCACATGTTCACAGTTAATTGCTTTAATTGCATCCTCCCACATCCTGAGGCCATTAGAGGCAAGACGGGAGTCAAATAAGCTGACCAGTACCAATCAAAGTCTGCTGAGAACTTCATTTGAGGCATCTTAATATCCTGAGCTCAGGTTTTGAAGTGTTTAATCAATGTGGAATTTCCTCGCATCAGAGGAACCTCTGAGATAAGGCCTGGGGGAGCAATGGCCACCGCTGAAATCTTACTGGCCACTCCTGCGCCTGTGGCCTTCACTGACCTGACAGGTCAAGTTCATTTACTGATACTCTTATGTTCAAGTTTCAGTGAATGCAACTGTGGTGCCTGTGTGCAAGAGAAAGCAACATAGCTGACTGTAGTTAGATAAATTATCATCACAAATGAACAGAATCATCAATATTGCAATCATTAATAATGTACAGATGTTTTGCAGATAGAGGAATTTTTTGCCTCTAATACTCTGCAGCACCTCTTCTCCCACATCGTATACTACGCAGCAAGTTTGACACAACCAGGCTTTCTTTGTGCAAGCTGGCTCAACAAAACCTGGAACTCCAGTCAGAGATAATGGTCATCACAACAGTGGTTATCAACTTTCTTCTGCAGACTCTTTGTTTGCTCACATAAAAGAGGATGTTTAAAAACTTCTTCTACACCAAATGGATTTTAGTCAACTGGTTGAAGAGCTATAAAGAATATCAAAAAATATTTCAGCAGAGTGTGCTGCTACTCCGAATGATGCAAGAGAGGAATGAAGGTAGAAAACTGTTCTATCCATGTAGGTGAATATATGTATTTTGCCACTAATGCACCCACTTATTCCTAACGTGACAGTTGCACATTAGAGCTTTGAACATTTATACTTAATATTGAAGAAAAGCATTTAAATTTGATACTGACCCAAAGTGAAAGATACATGGAAATCATGTTAGCATTTGCCAAAATCAAAGATAAATTAATGATTTTGATTACCTATTCTCTGTAATGATTACCAATTTCTAATGTGTGTTCTATTAGCTGAAGTACCAGCAGTGTAAAACGGATTTGGCAGCAAATCGGGACCAAGTGTAAAGGCATATTTATGCATTTTCTGCATCTCTGAACACAGGTAGGTTCTCACGCAATGCAAACAGTTTGCACTACTGTAACTTCACAGCTTCTTTCAGGTAAATTGTTAACACACAGCTCAACAGGTTTACAGATATAACATATTCCCTCAGCTGATGATGTCACTCACTCGTTGGAAATTTGTCAGTAAATTAACTGGTTAAACAGAGACGCTTTAAATTTAAATCCCAAACTCTGAACAGGTTAACTGTGGTGCATATGCTACCATAGCATCAAGCCGCGTATCTATCCACCATCATGACATGAAATCTGTGACTTTAGGCTCAACAAACCACGCTCAATCTTGCTTTGTACTACACACCTTTTTCGAACAGTGGTCATCCAAATGACAAAAATGATAGTCTAGGCACATCAGATAATTAGTCACATTAACTACATCATTTTCAAGCAGCCTTTATACAACAGCAATAACACCACACCTGAATGTCAGTTTAGGTTTTTGTGTGCCACCCCAAGACTTCCAGTAACCCTATCCTGCCACCCGTACGGGAGATGTGTGGAGACGCCCCTGCCTCTTGTGGGACACGAATTTACACCCAACAACAGCATCGGTCCGGCCGCTGACAGCCGCCCCTTTTCCAAATAAGGTAATTAGAGGAGCGACAGGAAGCCTCTCCATGGTAACTCAATCACAAACAGGAGGAGCGACACAATGGACGCGTGAGGAGGAGATGATTGACAGCTCGTTGCGGCTCGCGCTCGCTGCTTTATTGAAAGCAGCCGATAGCGACAACAACACACGCGAATGCACCCTATTTAGGCTGTTTTATCTGCGCATTTTGTGCAATAAACCACCGAGCAGCATCAATTGTGCTCCCTCCCTGTCGTGCCACCTTAAAAACACCGACTATTTAACAAAAAGCGTGACAAATAAGGCTTTACCACGCGGGCTCCTAATCAATATGCCTCCCCTGAGCACCTGCTAGTTCCTCTGTGAGGAAGCCTGCCGGTTTATTTCCAGCTTTTAATTCGCACTGTTATCATTCCGCTATTATTGTCACACCCTTTAGTTGTAGTGGCACAGGCTAAAAACTTGGCGTAGTGAGATATCTTAATCAGCACATGGGTTTGAAAGCTGTGTTGCTGTTACCTCAGTTCCTCCTGTTCATCCTGGTGCTCGCAGACGAAGTGGCCCCCCGGTGTGATGAGCGGTACTCCGAGCCTCAGCTCAACGCCGTTATTTTTTTTTTTTGCATGCAACTTGGTCGCTGCGGGGAGAGAGCCCACTACTCTCACAAAAAAAACCCTCCAAACGTGAGGTTGTAGTTGCCAGGTCGCTCCAGTCATGCGCCGCACGCAGACAGCGAAGTAAGCGAAGTGTTTGAAAGTTACGCTCAAAGCGAGCGTCGCTGATAATGACTAATTAGCGACTGCGACGGCGTGTAGTATGAAAGGCAGAGCAGCCTTTATCCCTCTCATCCACAACAGAGCTGGATGCTGTCTGTCACTGCGACTGTCTCCGCCCCATCACCACTCGCACTGTATTGGAGGAAATATTTCTGATTGATTATTCGATGATTTATCCGAGCTACTTCATTCATTTACTCTTGTTATTACTTTGAATTGTTCTCATTTGTCAGTGATTGAGTTGATTATTTAAATAGGATGATTCAGTTAAACCGACTACTACATTTCACGAAATATGACTTAATCAATCAAATGTTTTATTATTAATAATAAAATGTAATTGAAGTTTTGTTTTTATTTTATTTTATTTTCACCTGTTTCGTCTTGTTCTGCTCTAAATTAAGCCCATCTATTGTTATAATATTTACTGGTAGTGTGGCATTGTGAAGTCAGCACAAATACCAAGAAGAGCTCTCATTTTTCAAAGTAAAAGTGTTCAAGTAGCCCGCAATACAGCAATCCTACATCTTAACAAATCTAACAAAACACAACATAGCACACACAAATGTTAAAAAATAAAAAAAACACAGCCTGTTCACACAAGATCCATTGTATTCTTAGATTTCCTGGGTTTTTGTGTATATTTTTATACACGTATAACTCTAAATCTCCAAATTTAACAATGATTTATGATCTTTGCAATTTATGTAAATTAGTTAGGGCAATTTTCATTATTGATGTTATTGTGAGGTCTTAGCCTTAATATTTATTATATATTAGATTAGATTTACCTCTACTGTCATTGCACAGCGTGAAGTAGCAAAATGTAGTTTAGCACCTAACCAGAAGTGCAAAAGAAGCAGTAAAAATGCGGCACAATGTAAAATGTCTAATTGGACTAGATTTAGGGGCAGTATGGAAGTATTAAGATAAATAACATATGAGCAGTATTAACAGTACAAACTATGCATGTAAGAAGGAAATAAGGATCTGAGATGCGTATAACCACAGCATATGCAGTATGGGTAAATAAATGAATAAACACTGGATTGACTTGCCCTGAGTGTGTCGACCTCTGCAGCATAAATCAGCAAAAAGCAATTGACCAATTGAATCTAAGTTGACCACAAATAAAGGTGCTGTAATCATACAGCACCAAATCTTGTGCTTCAGCATTGGGACTAAATGTGAGTGTAGATTTCTGTCAGAAGTAAAAACTTGTCACACATAATGATCCCTGAACCTGACATTACAGAAAAATACAGACTCAACTGATGTTGTTGTTGATGTTGAGGTTTCAATGGCCATTGTTCATTTTCGTTCATTTATGTGTGTGTGTGTGTAAATGAAGGTGCTGTGATGTTACAGCATTGAAACTTGTGCTTCAGCACCATGGCTGAACACTTGTCAGCGTAGATTTCTGCCACAAGTGCAACCTAACCTTGTACCAAACAAATTCACGTGCTCCAGTTTCCCTCTGATCCAGCCAAGCATGTGCTTTAAATCAATCCATCAAACATATTCGTTCCTTTTATTTTGAAAACAAATCTACCAGAAGTTTGGTGTTTGGTGATTGGTGGATCTTACCTGTAAAGCGACCAATCACAGCGAACATCTGAGCCTGTAGGAAGCGCACTTGTTTTAGTCATTTTAAGTGCCAAGATAGGCGGGGATAAGGGCAGCTCACTCAGAATGGCCCGTCCCGTTCGCCGTGGAGGCTTATGAAGCGTGTGAAGAAAAAATCGAGCTCACTCTCTCTGTCAGTGCTTCCTTTTAGTTGTCAACAGCGAGTGTAAAGGGACAGTGAGCGCAGCTAGCCGACACTACACAGCAGTAAACGGTGTAGAAAACAATTTGCTGAACAAATATTATTTGCAGTCTGTTGTGTCGCCCACAGCTCGGTTTAGGTAGGTAGCTAAAGTTTGCTGGGTTTGTCTGTCTACCATTGTTACGTTGTTGACTGTAACTATGCTAACGTTAGCTAGTTGTTGTATGGGGTAAGTTATGCTGGAACTCGCTGTACGACTAATGTTATTTGTGTATTTTGCTCTACAAAGCAATACTTGTCTGTTAGCGGCCGCTGTGGACTGTGGTTATGCTTTTAGGCTTGTTCATCTTGAAGCAGGATTCTACAAAATATTAAGAGTTTGCCACAATGCTGCTCGTTAGTATTATTAGACTGTTAGCCATTAGTTAATGTTAATAACTGTCTCAAAAGTAATTAAAACCTACCAGCTTGGTAGTGTCACATGAATATAGCAGCCTACCCTGCACAACATTACCAGGCATTATGTTTCATGGCTGAGTTTCGTAACGGAATTACTTAATTGACCTTTGCACTCATTACAGTGACAAAGATAATAAACTTCCGTGATCGTGTCATATCGTGTTCTAATTGGACTATGTTTACAGAAGTACACACAACATGCAATTTGAATTGTATATTTGTTTTCCCTACAGCCAAGTACTGAGCTGATCACTGGGTAGTGAAAGATGCATATTTTAGTACATCTCAAAGCTAATGTGTATATACTTTTTGATCACAGACACAAGGAATAATTTCAGCTTCAATGATGTTAGCATTGCACAATTTGAAGACACCAGCTTGGTCTTTTGCTTCACAGCGGATGTCTTTATGTCGGCAATCACTAGACTACCATGATATTGTCGCCGACCACATTTCCAACACTGAACATAGATGCTTGTTGTTTCTTTCTCCCTTTTTTTTGCTCTCTCAGCTATGACTAAGATTTGAAGGCAGATGTGGACTGAGTGACACCCCTGTCATCCCTCCCCAGTACATCCATGTGTATAATTTTCTTCAAGTTTGACCCCCGGCCTGCATCCAAAAATGCCTACAGGTACAACAGTTAACCATTTATGTTAACACTGACTCTATTGACGTTACATTCAGGGTCAACCAATACAGTGCAAGACAGGGCTCACGAAGAAAAAAATAGTGTTGCAACACTGATCACGCTCCAGGAAGCTTATGAAATGCGTTATTTGCAGAAAATGTCTATGAACCACGATTACAGCTACGGTGTAGGATTTCAGCTGAGTTTTTTTTTTTTTTTTTTTTAAATGCACAAAGACTCATAACAACTCATATAGAACAAACAAGGAAGATGCCTCCAAACATATGACATAAGTTATGACTAACCAGCATTCCTCAATACACCAAAAGTTGGTGCTACAAAAATCAAACCATTTGTCTTTAGACAAATGTGTGAGCATAGAAGTCAAGAGAGGACAGTCACCCACCAAACTGCATACTTGCAGTAGATCTTCATTGTTTTGCTTAAGGGCAAAACAAGAACTACAACTTTTCAAACTACGTCGCTCTACCAACCTCATTGTTCAAGCGGCAAGTCAGAAAAGAATGTGTTTGTGATACTCTTAAAATCCAGCTGCACTCAACGCTTGGATCATCCTTATAAACACATGTTGTGTAGTTATTTTTCTTAAAAGCACTCTGCATGTGCTACATGGGCTGTATTTTTTTGGAAAGTAGTATATAATAGTGATTTATTCATACAGCTAAAAAAAGAAGTGCTGGTTTTAAATATTTTTCACAGCATACACTCCTTAAACAGCAAAAGAAGTGTTTGAACATGCAGTTAGAAAACATATACTCTGTCTTGGAATAAAAATAAATGTGAATTCTTGACATCACTGCTGACGTACTCTGACGAACCTGCAATGTTCTCCTAGTTTATCGTCCACACTTGCTTAGTGCGCCACTTGGAAAGTAAGACACATCTTTCGTTCAGACATACCATTTTTTATTACACCACTGGTCCTTGTGTACCCTCCACATGTCCTACCCAGCAGTAAATGCTAACTTCTTTCAGTGGGCAGCACAGTCCTGTGTTGTACGAGCAGTCAGTGTGAGTTACGGCATGATGTGGAGCCCCAGCTTATTACAATCCCCCAGAGCACGACAGCAAGCTCTTCGGCTGGCTGTAGTCCATCTCTGTCCTTCCCTTTGGGAGCCTGACCCCGCCTAAGGCGATCACAGCAGAGGTGTGTTATGAGTACTGACTCAGACCTGAACCTGGGGAAAGGTGAAGCGTACTGTGTCCTGATGTGGTTCACTTGGGGGCTATTTATAGACTACCAGTTGCAGTAGTAGTTGTTCTTGTGTGACAGTGATGTCTAAATCAAAGTAAATGTGCAGCAGACTAAATTAGGTTGAAGGCAAAATTAAAGTTTTATTAAGTGCAATTATAAAGCCCTCACAGCACAAAATGACAGGAATGTAACTGCGGGAGTTAAATGGGTTCATGTTCAGCACAAATGACTCGCTGATTACCCACCTGCTGAGATTTCTCTGTTTCAAAACTCAGTTTAGCTCAATTCAGCTCTACCCTGCACTGTTTCCTTTTTTTTTTTCGTTCAACTTTTTCAGCTGCTTAGAACAAAGATGGTGCTGCAATCAGCCAAGCAGCAATGTCATATGATTTTGACCTGTATATATTTATAGCACTTCCTTTAGGCTAGTCAATGTCATCTAAATATCACCAGCTCAGTTCCCAGAGGCTGCTGTATCTGCTGCATCCAAAAAGATGGAAGAGATGTAAAAAAAAAAAAAAAAAAGGAAGGGTGTACTGGCAGTCTTACATGGAGCTTTTGTAATGGTGGGGGTAGAATTGTGTATCCCCCTTAGAAGCACAGTGTCACTCATGGCAATCTGCAATTAAAGTCTAACATATATAGGCATGTTGTGAGCAAGTTGACGCTGTGGCCTCATACTGGATTGATCCTGGTGGGTGCACAAAGCTCTGATCTATCAGAGCATGGATACTGGACCTCTTAGGATGTCTCTGGTATCTGGCAGTACAAGAAAGGAATCCTTTGGGTCCTGTGGTTCGCAGCTCTGTAGATCAGTCATGTTCTGTTGCATTCTCTCAGATGCTGATCGGACTGAGATCTAGGGAGTTGGGAGGCTGGGTGAACTCTTGATCATGTTCCTCAAACCGTTCCTTAGTAGCGTTTGCAATGTGGCAGGGCACATTATCCTGCTCAGAAAGGCCACTACTATCAGGGAATACTATCACCATGAAACACAAACTCAGGATTGAGGTTAACGACTTACAAAACAGACATATTGCACTTCTTTTGACAGATACTCCGATTGCAATATAAGGTGCATTTTTTAAATGATGGCATGATTTTTGCTGCAGCTTGTACCAAACAAGCATCATTTCTGATGTATGAATATTAGATCTCTGTATCACCACAATGCGTAATTTGTAATAGTATTTCATTATACATTTTGCCTTTATCAAAAAATTGCAGCGTGTGCAAATTGGATACTAAACTCCCCTTATTGCAATTTCAGTAACATTTTGATCAGTTGTTCAACCTTAATGTGTTCTGTAACAATGTTTAGGTGGGTGGTACGTGTCCACAAAAGAGCCAGGACCCAAGGTCTCCTAGCAGAACATTGCATTGTAATGAGATAATCAATGTTATTCATTTCACCTGTCAGTGGTTTTAAAGTGGAGGCTGACTGATATATATGATGACAGCCTGCCAAATAGATTTGGTTTGTCGGTTCATTGCTTTGTACCAGACTGAAATATCTCGACAGCCATTGGATAGATTTTCATCAAATTTTATTTGGACATTAATTATCCCCAGAGGAGGAATCCTGCTGACCTTGGTGGCTTTTCCTGTAAAACCACCATGAACTTGGAATTTTTGAACTTGTGCATATTTTTCTGAATTTGCACATATTTGCAACACATGCAGATGATCAGTGGAAGGATTATTATGTCAGCAGAATTGGTGCTTATAACCAGGGGGCCCAGAGAATGAATCTAATGACTTTGGTGACCCCTCCGGTGAAAATCTACTTTTTACCCTTGATAGCATCTCTGTGTGGTGTTTTGTATATAATGCAAGATTGATTGATTCAAGCTTGTGGCGTTTCATATGTAGCAAGCCTTATAAACACTCCTGGGTGGGACTTTCTGTATCATTTCAGAATCCGTTTCTGGCTCAAACATGTGTACCATTACTCCAATATTACAGCTTGTCCTTGTGCAGTGTAAGATAGTGTTACAGTGTTTGACCAGAGTCATAGATTAGCTAGAAACCTTGTGCTGCTGCTAATGGGGAGGGGTGAGCGTAGAGAGTGGCAGGGACTGTCGAAGTCCCACGCATTCTTGAGGAAGCCGTGGTGTAGTGTTACATCTAAGCCATTTTTTTCTCATTTTCAAGAAAAAAAAACAAAAAAAACAACTACATTTGTAGCTTCACAGAAATGAGTTTTTAGACAACCGGAGAGGGACTTCAGATTTTCTCTTTATAATTTAAATTATGCTAAATCTACTAATGGTTGCTTTTAGATGAGAAGTAACCAAAACTGTCAGAAAAGTTCAGAGTATCTATAGTTTTATTCCATAAAAATGTGTCTCCGTATGAATTGTTGACGACAGCGCAGAGATGAAATGTCAAGGGCTCACCAAAATCACAAGGAGCCATCCTATGGGAATCACAAATATCCTTGAATATGTAAGTCCACAAGCGAGCGTGTTTGTTGAGTAGAAAAGCAGCAGAGTTGAATGCTGATGAGCTCTGATACCTCTCTGCTTCTTTCACTCCCTCCTACATGATGCAGCTGGCTGATTGTTGCTCTGATCTGAGCCGCTCGCATGGGATTTTCCCCTCAGGATCCGATAGCAGATGCTGTCTCCTGTGTAGCATCATTAGTGTTAGCTTTGTTTTCAGGAGCAGCAGTGGCTCACACAGTGCCATGGGAGCAGACTGTCAGTAGGCCTTGATTCACCAAGGTTGACCCCTGTTAGGCCAATTTGGTTTATTTGTTTGTTCTTAACAGGATCCATACACCCATCCTGAAAGATTAATGGGAGGACCATTACCAAGTTCACAAGGAACATACAGCTATTGTAAAGGTCAATAAATGCCTGTCCCCCCCCCTGCATGTGTGGTTTGCCCAACGGGTGTATAAATGTCTTTAAATCCACAACTCTGCAGACTCTAATACAAGCTCTGCAAAGGTACAATTAGCTTTAATGGCAACAGTGCATGAAAAATAAACAACATGATGCTCTGCTAAAATGTTAATTTCTGTTTACAAAACTCACATGGCATGATGAAGAGGTTACCTTTTCCTCAGAGCAAGAGTATAATTGTTTTATGTGTTTTGTAACCGCTGCAAAAGACAGATGAGCTGGATGAGGTTGTGTGCATGTGTGTTGTAAAGTGAATGTTGGGTAATAGATGCTAAGTGAGGATATATAGCCACTAAGTGATGTTACGTTTACTTGTTACACAATTGACAGCCATGGCCTGCTAGTAAAGGCATGTAGGAACTAATGGCCGAAGCGGCATTAGATACAGGTCGCAATGCAGTGTCTCTTTGTTAATGGCCGTGAACATAATGGCATCATTACTTTGTGACTTACTCTGAATAATAATAACACAGGTCAAAGTGTAGTGCAGTGCTTAACTGACAAGCAGTCTGTGTCAGACTTAAGTGTCACATTCAAGGGGATTTATTGTAAATCAGAACACACTCTTGCTCAGGCTGTTTGCTCTTGTTTGCAGCAGTAAATGTTTGTGTTGTAGCCTTGCTTTGGCAATAAAAAACTCATTTAGAATGGGATAAAAAACAGAGGTTACTTACATGTGGCAGGCGCAGCCAGCATTGCAAAACGAGATGTAGATGAGGTGATTTACCTATACAATGTTCTTTCAAATTGTTTTAACCCCTAACATTATTTCTTTCCCCCGTATAACAAGTAGCTCTGTGACATCAGGGGCATTTTCCAACACTTCATTGAAGCTATTTGCAGAGTGACATTCATTGTTTTTATGGTTGTTATTGTGTACAATGTAGATAATCTTGTGCACATTTCTCCAAAATGTGTTTTAGTTAGTAATCAGCCAAAACATTAAAGACACCTGACTAATATTACATTGGCTTTCCTCGTCCTGTAACAACAGCCTCAACTGTTGGGCGGCTGTGGCTCAGGTGGTAGAGTGGGTTGTCCTCCAGTTGCAAGGTTGGCAGTTTGATTCCCCACCCCTCCACAGTTGAAGTGTCCTTGGGCAAGACACTGAACCCAAAGTTGCTCCCAATGGCAGGCAGCACCTTGCATGGCAGCTCTGTCACCATTAGTGTATGAATGTGTGTGTGAATGGGTGAATGAGAAACACATTGTAAAGTGCTTTGGATAAAAGCGCTATATATAAGACATCTGAGAATTTCCTGTGGTGTCATTGGCAAAAAAGAGAGTGGCACCAGATTTTTTGGGTCCTCTGATTTATGGCGTGTGACCTCTGTGGATCAGGCTTGTTCTGGCACATTCTGCTAGTGCTTAATCGGCTCTGGGGAGTTTGGTGGGTTAACACCTTGGGCTTGAGCATTTTTTTCTATGATGTGGCAAGGTGCACTGTCCAGCTGGGGGCAGCTGTTAGGGCAGGGGTGGGCAATCCTGGTCCTCGAGGGCCACAGTCCTGCATGGTTTAGATGTTTCCTTCTTCCAACACACCTGATTCAAATGATCAGGATCGTTGTCAGGCTTCTGCAGAGCTTGATGATGAGCTGATCATTTGAATCAGGTGTGTTGGAAGAGAGAAACATCTAAAACATGCAGGATTGTGGCCCTCGAGGAGCAGGATTGCCCACCCCTGTGTTAGGGAGTGCTGTTGCCAGTGTCTGGTGTATTAAAGAATCACCATGAATGCCAGGATCCATCATAATGTAAGAACGTTTGCATTGTCACGACACGATCAATGTTATTCACTTCACTCGTCAGTGGTTTTAATGTAGTATTTGATCAGTGTAATGACTGATGCATCTGCAGTCAGTGAAATTAAGAGATATAGAAAGATTTTAGAAACTTTAATAATATTGCAGTATCAGGATTAGGATAACGGTGTTAATTATCATAATATTCATTTTAATCACATCACTCATGCTGTTTTTCATTTTTTTCTAAAATTAATGAAAACAGTAGCAACAAAAAGAAGCAAGAGGTATCCGTACATCTAAAGTCTGTATTATGGAAAATGGTTTGAGTTAGTCAAAGTGTAGGCAAAGCGTTTGAAATCATAAAATAAAAAGTAATTGGGCCAGGCTGCTATATTGCACCAATACACCTAGTGCATTAGAGTCTTTTAACTTAGATCAGAAGCTCTTTTTCATCTTTCTGTCTCTCTGTTAAGACCGGTTGTCTGTAGCTACTATATTGGCTTGTCCCTTTTTTTTCCCTGTCACATTCCTTTTGATCCTTTCTTCTTTGGTCATCATCAAAGGACCACCTCCTCCTCGTAACCTCAATCTTTTGTATCTTCTGCATTAATTTCTAAAATAAGATGCTCGACTTGAAGGATCCTAGACTCATATAAGGCATTTATTAAGCTTGAAAACCAGAAAATTGCTCCGTGACAAGCGGTCTGCCAGCTCATTTGTATAATGATCACCTGTGTAAATCAAGGCCAGTATAAAATCCCGCTGTGTTCACTGTTACGGACTCTGTACAAATTGTGACAATGTCATTTTTCACTGGAGGGATATCTGACATCGGATGATTGATCACATTACACATTACAGCCAAGTGCTTATTTGACAACAGGAGCATGGAGGCTTATATTCTTAGATTCATGTAAAAACTGAATGAAAAAGACTCACTGAATGATCAAAAGTAAGTAAATTACTTCACACACTCTTTCCATCTCCTCAGGCTAATTTTGGCTGCAAACAGAGATGAGTTGTACAACAGACCATCCAAAGCTGCAGACTTCTGGGGGACCAACAGCGAGATCCTCAGCGGTAAGTGGGCGCATTTGAGACCATCAGACGAGCTCACCACTCATCGTTTCACTACCCTGCAATTACACGTAATCAGTAGAATAAATGTCTGTATAACATCGTGCTTCGGAAGGGTATACATAATCATTAAACAAGTGAGTTGTACTTTTAGGGTGCATTGTTTTCATGCATTTAAGCATTTTTAAACCAGTTAAGTCCCATTAAGATTGGAAATGTGCTGTTGTACAAATGTATGTGTTAGACTTAAAAAAAAAAACTGTCTTGGCTTGATGAGGATGTGAAAACACAGCAGATGTGAGCTTTTTAGCAGTGTTTGTCTACAGTGACATTCAAGGCTAAATAGCTTTCAATAATCAAGGAAAAATCTGTCTCCTTCACCCTCAGAATCCAATTCTCCTCTGCTCCGTCACAGAACATCCCCACCCGCAGTAAACTATATTTAATTGACTGGTGTCCAATACACATTATGGCCAAGCACAGGAAATCAATCATCCTTTTTTTCCTGCTAAAGGAGGAAACGCAGAGATAGCCTCGTTGTTCATCGGTCTCCTCTCCCCTCTGTAATAGAGGGGTCAGGACTCTACTAGTGGGCCCTTAATTGATGGCTGTTTTTATGCGGTGTGACAGGAATAAATGGCTCTGCCTTATCTGTGGAGCTGGGGAGAAGAGGGGGCCGGGTGAGGGGGTGGAGGGCAGCAGCAGGGCCCTGAAGGAGACATAGCATGACGAGAAGGGAAGTAAGCTATAGCTCCCAGTGGGAACAGGCTAGCTTACCGTCCAGCTCCCAGAGGAATAGGACGGTCTGGCTCTCTTGGTCACTGTCAGTGTAAGTGGACCTGTCTTTATTGATTACCAGGAAGTGCAGCAGACTTACAGGACCCTACCTTTCCTGTGTCGAGTGGAGAAGAGCAGTGTGAAACAAAAACAGCTTATTTAGTCAGGGACTGAATTTATTCAATTACTGCCACTACTACACATGAAGATAGTCCAATTAGACGACATGTTAAAGGACATACACGTTATATACTTGCTCTGATTTGTGAGTTTGATGTCAGCTACAATTTATTTATTTTAGTATGATGGTGTATCTCAATGGAAGCAAGTTAATATTCAGTATTGTTTCCTGTCATATTTATTCACTTTTTGCTTTAAAGTTTGTAGGTTGAACTTTTTAAGGGACCTTTTCTGTTGTTGTATAGACAATGCTATAAGTGAAAAAAGAGATTACTCATGAAATGATAGTCAGTATTCACCAGCACTATATTTTACACGCCCATAATGCCCGAAAAGAAACATGTAATTTGATACCAATGCTCGTAAAAGTTGAAATTTCCTGGGAAAAGGAGCCCAGTATGTATAGATTAATTTACTTAATTATTCATTGTAAATTTGATTTCCTAATTGTTGAAATGCTTTAAATAATTGTACATTTTTGCATATTTGAATTGTTGCATGTTCAGCGGACCTGCTGTGTTTTAACTAAAGTTAACTGGATGTCAACCAGTTGAACGCTGTCTTCATTTCCATTTACAATAGTCAATGACAAATGATGCATTTCTGTCTGAGAAACATCATGAACATTATACACATAAATCATTTTTTTCCCCCCAATTTTCTTCTTAAAGTCCCTCTTGTTGATTTAACCCATACAAACTCATCTCTGTTTATCAGAGTTAGACATTGTTTGATTGTTTGATATGTTTTTTTTCATAAAATTAATGCCTATTTTTCCTAAAATGGTTTAGATTTACTTCTACACCGTTGCTTCCTCTACAATATGTCGATTTATAAAGTCCCCATCTCTCTCTACATTCACCCCTTCTTATTCACAGCGGCTCGGTCACACCCGCTCACCCATGACTCTTTTTTAACATTAAGTTTACTCGTGATGTTATAAACACCACATAAACATGGTAACAATTTAAAAACCTTGATTTTCACTGGGTGGTGTCTACAACAAAGACTAACCTGTGAACTGCGGTTGCCCTTTTCATTTAATCTTCATGAACATAACACGCATTATAACATGTGTGTGACATTTTACTGCTTCTGTGTTTATAAGGCCTAGACCTAGAATATGGAAAGGAAGGCGGGTCATGGATGGGGATCAGCAGGAGGGGAAAGCTGGCTGCGATCACCAACTACATGGAAGGACGACCTAACCCTGATGCACAAGGAAGAGGTAAGCCAAACGTGAAAAAGCCACAAATATATTCACTGATAAAATGCCTATTATTAAAATCGCCAAGTGTCCTATTAAATGATCATACTTAAGATTTATTTGATAATGTAAGTGTTTCATTTTTCGTTGTTTATGTTGATACTGTTCTCCCCGTGCAGCGTGGGTTCTCTCTGGGTTCTCCGGCTTCCTCCCACAAGTCCAAAAACATGTTGAGGTTAATTGGTGATTCTAAATTGCCCGTAGGTGTGAATGTGAGTGTACTTGGTTGTCTGTCTCTAAGTGTGGCCCTGTGATAGACTGGCGACCTGTCCAGGGTGTCCCCTGCCTTCGCCCTAAGTCAGCTGGGATAGACTCCAGCCCCCCCGCGACCCTAGTGAGAATTAAGCGGTGTATAGATAATGGATTGATGTTGATACTGTATTTGTGTTTATTTGGTTTCTATTACATCTAGTCAGGGTTTATTAAGTGAAAAATGTAAGAATTATTTATTTTTCCTTTTGTTAATCTGCAGGATTTTTAGTGTCTAACTACCTTATGGAAAAGGATATGGACAGCTACTCCTACCTGAAGAAGGTGTCGGCAGAAGGCCATCTGTACAACGGCTTCAACCTCATCACAGCAGAGTTCAAGTGAGTGAAAGGTGTGATGAAATCCATCTGAGTGTACGTTCCTCCACTGATAGAGGTGAGTCAAACTATATATACTCTGGGAAAGTATTTACACCGAGACTTGGTTGTAAAAAGAAAAAAAAATAGACTTGTCTACCAGCTACCAGCTTTATTTTCAACATGGTAGATTTGACAAGATGAAATTTATTCCACAGAGTCAGAAAAAATACGTAATATGGCCACCTAAGACTGCTGCGTGTTCTTTTTATATTGTGACTTCTTGTGGTCTACACTCCAGAGACGGTGGCAGATTCCTGCTCACTTAAAGGTTTTTTTTTTTTCCGGGAACTCACAGAGAATGAGCTGTAGATCTGTTCCTGTGAATTTTGGCCTTACCTTGGAATGTAACCACAAAAGCAATGTCTTCATCTCTGGAGTGCTAAGCAGGCAGAACCGAAAAGAAATCTCAGATGCTGAGCTGTGAACGAGCCAGCATTAAAATTCTAAAGGAACACCTGTTCATATTTCAGGGTGTTAGACAAAGAAAATCTAGACAGCATTAAAAATAATGAAAGGTTTTTCGTTTTTTTTTCCCCTTCGTCTGCTGCTCCAGCCTGACTTCACTGAATTTAGTGACCTGGTAAAGGGAGAAAAATCAAAGTAGGATCAGTGCTCACTGAGATATCTGTCAGGGTGGAGGCCCCTGTAGACAATTGGCATGGAAACGGGTCTTAGTGTCTGCCAGGGAGCGGTTGGAGGTTTAGCTGCAACACACACATCTACCAATATGCATCCCTGGTGTGGAAGAAAGGAAAAAAAAAAAGGAGTGCTTCCACAGTGGAGTTTGGTGTCATGATCTGTGTATCCTGGTAACATGGCCTCGAGCAGGATCTCCCCCTCAAAGGGATTTTCTTAAGCTTGCACATCCGTACTTTCACATTTTTCAGCATCGCATTTTGGTTCGGGAGATCGGTATAGTGGTCTTAATTACACCTATAATGTCATTTTTTTGAAACTATAATGCCAGCCTAGCATTTCTGTCCACCTCCAGCATGATGGATAACATGCTGATAAGATGACTTTGCAAGCTGAAGTGCCTGCAATCAACTGTCATCTGGCAGATTTTATCAGCGGTAGCTTGCTAATTTATTAAGCTAGGTCTTTAGTTCCCAGCTGAGTTGTTATAAAATGAACCCAATAGGGTCTTAAAATGAACTTGATGGCTACACTTATCATATGGTAGTAATGGAGTTAAGCTAAAGCTGCAGGTAAAGGGTCTTCTGATCCACACTTAGGAGATCTTAGGAGAAACAGCATAGTCCTTTTAATGCAGCATAGTACATTTTTCCAAGACCTATTACGTCAAGAAGAACTGTAAAGTCAGACTGCTATTTCATTCTAACATAGCCCTGTTTGGCTGCTGGGCTTATACACTTGAACAAGCAAGACAGAGGTTAGAGTTATGCTTTACTCTCCACATATTTCATTTTTAATGTTACAAGAGAAAAACCTTTACTCGGTGACCAGCCAGTGTTTGGCGATCATAAGGCTGTCTCAGATAGTTGTGAAGTGCTGGAGGGAAAACTTCCATCTGTCCAATAAAGAGCAGGACCAAGCTACTAACATCCCACACACTGACATAGCATCAGGACCCCCAATCCTAGAAAACACTTGAATGCAAAATGGCCTCTGGTTTTGGACCCTTGGTGACTTCAGTAGTGTTTGTAGTAATGTTAAGCTCATAGCTGAATAAGCTAACTTTTGCCACTTAATGTGAGAGCAGAGAAAAATACTTTTTAACCCATTCTTACATTTTTACTATTACACTTTGGATTTTTTAAAAATTAGACAGCACTCTCCAACCTTTTTAAATGCCCATTATGAGCTCATGCAAGTCCCTTGAGCACAAGACTTTATCATGTGGAGAGTGAAGCAGACTCTTATCAACTGAGTGAAATCATCTTGGATTCCAAAGAGCACATGCAAGTCCCTCTCCGGTTGTAATTTGACTCCTAAAAACTCTTCTCTGTCCATCAAACTTAGTTATTTAGGCATTTTTCCATGAAAATAATCCCCCGCTTGTCTTAAAACAGCTTAGCTGTAACTCTACACTGTTCCTTCCTTTAGAATGTACAGATTTATGAAGTCCCTGCCTTTCTCTCCATTCACCCCTCCCCTGCACTTTGAGCACTCCAGCTCACCTACCACTCTGTTCAAACACTGCAAAACTACTCTGTGCTACACAATAGCAAGTTGTAATAACGGAGTAATTCAGCCATTCATGTTCAAACCTAAAATTGTTTCTGACGAGGAATAATGATACAAAAGTCTGAATTTGTGTTACTGACATTGCAGGGTTCAGGTGGAAATGCTCAACAATGGTGTTAACTACTTATTTGTCTCATGATGTGTCATCGAGCAAAGAAAAAATACTCTGTGGGCATGTTAACAAGATTTTCACTAGAGGGGGTCTGTAAAGGTCACTGGTATATCTGTATGAAACATCAGCTATAGTAGCAGCCTCAATCCAGAAGTGTTAGAACTATTCCTAGCTTTGACAACCCTTCGATTTATCTCTTCACATATGACTGAACCCACAACAGCAGCTAGATGGCTTAACAGTTGTTTTCTGGTAGGCTGAAGCCATCAGGATATGCAAATATCCTTGTTAAGACCAGGAGCTGTAGTCGCGCCTCTGCTTGATGGTTTTCCTTGTTAATGAAAGAATGAGGTCCCACCTCAAACTCATAAGATGCTAGCAAAATGCCTGTTTATGCTGTAATAATGCCTTTTGTACTTCGTTTTGACTGGGTTGTCATTTGGGGCTGAAATCAGTCAGCGGAGCTTTACTGCGTGAAAATACGGCATATGTTTTTTCCCCTCAGACACCCGTCTGATGGGAGACACGTTCGCTGCAGATAGAGATGGCACGCGGTGACAAAAAGAAAGCCTTGATCTTTTTAATAAACACCATCATTACCAGCCTATTTGTTTTCCACTGTAGTGTGTCCAGCAGCCCTGAGGAAATAAGGCGTCTGGTTTCTTTCCGAATCAATAACTACATCTGGTGGATAGAGAGTAAGCTCTATATTACAATTAGAGGATTTCTTATTCATCTGTAACCAGAGACATGATTTATGGTGTGTGGGCAGTGGGGGACAGGATGTGTCCTCCATTCTTAAGCATTTTCTGTCTTCACTTGGTTTCAGTATCTGAAATCTATTATTGAGATGCATTTCAACGAAAGATTGATATATTTATCATTAAAAATAGTTTCATTTGTCCACAATTTATGTATTGCTCCTTTTTAGTTACAATGCTTCACAAGTACCCCCTGATTAATAATATATACCCATGTTGGGCTGAGCTGTACATGTGAGTGATTAGGTCAGTGGCAGCCATGCAGTTCCCAGAACATTCTACAGAGCCTTGCTGTTGTGGAGCTAATACCATATATATTTAAATTTTGATCTCAGATATTTTCTGCTTGATGCTCTCGAGGCTCCACATCCAACTTTTCATCTGCCTTTTCTATAGCTTTGGTTTTTGATCCCACTTTAAGTCACTCTTGCTTTAAAGTCAATGCCCAGAGATTATCCATTTTAATGAATATCTCCTCTGATGTTTGCCTGCAAAGAAATGCCTCCCTTAATGCACTTTCACTCAAACATAGTGTGTCAGTTTTATAAAAACAACTTTAGAAAGTGGTTCAGTCTTATTGCCTCAAACCATGTGCTGTAATTTTTGGCAGAAATTTGTTCGAGCTGAAAAAGAAACACAGCAGTGAAGCAGATACACACATTCCAGAGTATTGGGGGTGGATGAACTCTCAACATTTTAAGGAGGCTCTACTATGAGTATTTGTTATTTTTCCAAGTGCTTTGAACATTACCTATGGAGAAATACCTCCTCTTGGAGTTTGTCCTGACCAGAATTAGCAGTGGATCACAGTAAGCACTTCATTGTTCACTGAGTGAACCCAAATGTCTTCATATTGTCACAAAAATGTCAAACTTTACAACAAAAGTTGATTTTGGCTTTGCAGTTGTGAGTTTTTATCAGACAGGAGAAGTGACTCACACTCCAGTTTTTGTACATACTGTGTATCCTACAGCGAAAGTTTGTCACAAAATGAAATCCTTTTTTTTTTTTTTTTTAGTATGTAGACCTTCTTCAGTCATTGACTTAATCTCTAAAAACTCATTTCTGTGTATCAAAATTACACATTTAAGTTTATCTCCACAAAGAAAACCCTTAAATGTAGCTCTACAGTGCTGCTTCCTCTAGAATATGCAGATCTAGAAGGTTCTCGCTTCTATCTACACCCCCACCTCCACTGCTTGCTGCAGCTTGAATACACTGGCTTGTCTTCAACTGTTAAAACACTTCAAAACTACTCACTACTACTACACAACGGAAGGATGTAATTTTAAGTGTTTTAAGAGTAATACAGCCTTATCGTTAGAACTAGGAAGTAAGAATAGAGGTGAAGAGTAATGGCACAGAAAGTTCCACCCTTAACAAGATAGTTTGCTTTTCTGAATATGAAACCCTGTAAGTCTGAATCCTTACAGTTTCCAGGTGGAAATGTTCAGTCATGACGTTTACTTATCTTGCTCCCGATGTGTCTCCCGGCATATCAAAGCCAACCTATGTTCTCGTTACCTAGATGAAAACTTTGTTTGCCACATTTAACAGTCTAATTTCCCTTGTTAACATGCTAACCCTTGCTAATTAGCTGCTAGCACACAGGCTAATGAGAATGTCATTGGTTTTGCAAATATTTAGTCATAAACCAGTGCACTGAGAAAAGTGAAATCATGACCTCATGCTGATATAAAATGTCACTGGATCTGCAAAGTAATTACAATATATCCTGGGAGTAATACTAATATCTGAACTAAATGTCATGGCAATCTATCCAGTAGTTGAGCTTTTTTTTTTTTTGCTTGACACCACAACTGTCAGCCGTATGGTTATACTTGCGGAAATGTCAGCAAATCACTTAAATTATTAGGATACATTATTTTGTACCAAATTTCATGATAATCTGTCTAATATTTTTGGGGGGGAGATGTTTCAGTCTGAACCAAAGTGGTGGACTGACTGATAGGCCAACATTGCCATCCAAAGGGCCACGTCGGTAGTGTGGCTAAAAAGAGATTAAAAATGAAAAAATCTAGCTTTTTTGCTCAATTACTTTCCTTTTATGTCTCCATGTGTGGGTGCACTTGCACAGATGTGAGTGATAAAATATGAAAGTGCATGTTGTCGTTACTCAGGAGCCCGACCGACATGCCCATCTACATTCCGCACTGATAATGTTGAAAGCTCATCCAACCATCTCCAGGCAACTACACCACAGCTGGCGATGGGGAAACTGCTCCACAGCCTCAGTATAGAGGACTCTTCATTAGAATGTCTCCCAGCCAGCATACTGATTACCGCGCTGACTGAGATCTGAAAAAGCCTGTTTTTGACTCTTCCCTCTTTATTCTCTTTCTGCCCAGTGGTCCCGACCTCCTGCTGTTCCCTCATCTCAACCCAAATCAGCCCACAGCACACCTGATGGGACTACCAATATTCTAGCCAGTTTCAAACAGCAGAAATGGAGCTATCTCTCTACAAATCCTCCACCTGCTACCACCACAGTCAATTTGATGCATATCACTGGCAAAGTGTGTACACAGACACCAGGCCTCTCGGGTATTGTTGGGTTCAAGTCACAATACCAAGATCAGAATAGTATTTCAGACACTGTGTTTGCCCCCAGCACAACTGACAACAAATAAAAGCTTTACAGATTCTTTCATTTCCCTTCAGCTTACAGTGCCATCTGGTTCTCATTGAATGGCTACTGTGTACATACACTGCTGTGTTCATAGTAACCATAGGAACACACGAAAAAAAATGTAGTTGTGTATTTAAAATGTTCAACTGGGTTTGGGTACAAGGAACAATATTAAGGTCTTGGATTTGTTGTTGTCAGAGACATCGTGTAATGTCAGCTGACAGCTCTGAGGATTTTCTCGCAGCTGCTTGGACATGTATTTTCCTGCCTTTAGAAAACGCTTTGCCCCAATGTGTGAGGTTTGCTCATGTCAGCCTGTGTCATCATATTATTCCTTCGGTGGTTTCAGTAGTGCTGAGGTTAAAATGGAGTAAGAATATCCCAGAGGAAAGCATGGTATGAGGCAAGTGATGGGATCAGATGATTTTAATTAGTCCACTCACCACCTATTCAGTATGTTAAAGTGCACGAGAAAGAACACTGTTTGTCTCTTACATCATTTTGTGTGTGCAGTTAGGTTTACCTAATAGATGTTGATTGCTCATTAAATTAAACTAAGGTACTGAAGGATAAGCAAGCTATACTAAAGCATGAAGTGGCACATGGACATTTCTTATGCACAATGTTTCCTACCAAATATTCATGTCGTTTGGCTTTTTGCAATACAGTTGCAAACTTGTGGTGTAAAATCATGAACAGTTCAGAGTAGAATACCTAGTTTGGTTTTCTGCTGACAAGCAAGCAAGAAAAGCTCAGATCACCACTCTTTAGAAACCCCAGCAAGCAGAGCAACATTTTAGAATGCACAACACATCAAACTTTGAGACGGATGGGCTACAACAGTGGAAGACCATGTCAGGTTCCACTCCTGTCAGCTGAGAACAGAAATCAGAGACTGCAGTAGGCACAGACTCATCAAAACTCAACATTTGTCTGGTCTGCTAAATCTCCATTTCAGCAGTAGAAGGTCTGCTCTGAATTTGACATAAAACTGATGATATATTTGCAAAAAAAAAAAAATGGAAATCTTGGTGTCAAAGTGTAGAATAACACAAATGCCACAAAAACACAATACTCTGTTGAAATGCTTCTGTTTAGTTATGTTTTAAATATGCTTAAAACATTATTTTCAACATTTATCGTTCAGTGTTGAATAGCTATTTCTCGCATGTAACCAGTCAGCCCTTTGGGGAGGACATTGCTTGAGACCCCAGTGTGGTAACTACAGAGGGGTGGCAGACGAGTGCATTTTATTGATTTTTTTGTCAGGAGTCCGTTCAGAAATATATGTAACAATAGCTGCTGGGCTGAATGTTGGCTGACCCCTAGAAAGAATCCTTGAACCCAACCAGCTTGGTGTCAACAGTCCAGGCTGCTGCAGGTTGTATAATAGTGCTGAGAATGTTTTCTTGGCACACTTTGGGCCCCTTAATACCAGTCAGTCATGGTCTGAATGCCACAGCCTGCCTGAGTATTGCTGCTGAGCATGTGGATTTCTTTATTAGCACAGATTACCATCTTCTAATTACTATACTGTAAGCAGGACAATGTACCGTGTCCCAAAGTCAAGTTTCAAGAAAATGACAGTGAGACCAGATCCAATAGAATACCTTTTGGAAGTCGTACTGTAAAATGAAAGTTTCTCACCATGACAAATCTGCAGAGTTCATGCAATTAAAAGCAAAAAAAGAAGATTTTACTCAGTGCTATGGTGTTCTTAATAAATATCTCAGTGAGTATACAAGCTGTAAGTCTTAACAAGAGCTGCAAGATATATTTTTGCTATTGATTAACTTAGCTATTGTTTTTTCAATTATGCATTTGTTCTGTAAAATGGTAGAAAATAATAATGACAAAGGCATCATAAGTACCCCAGGGCAATTTGATGTCTTCACATTGCTTGTTTTGTCCGATCAACACTCCAAAACTCAAAGATTTCCATTTTAAAGGAAATAAAGAAGCTGGAGCCAACAAGTGTATGATGCTTGAAAAGTGAACCAAACGATTGATTTGATTATCCAAATAGTTGGCAGTTAATTTTCTTTCGATCGACTAATTAGGCAATAGACTCATTTTTGTTCAGCTCTTAACATGACATGAAATCTTTGTTAATGGGTTCTTTGTCAGACGTTTTCTACTTGTGGTGATATATGGGTTAGACCAGAGGCAGACCTCCTTTGCCCAATTTGTATTTTGGCTTTTAAAACTATCCAATAAATTCAGTTGCACAGCTACAAGCCCAGCAGCATATTCTGCCCCTGCCTCGCGAGCTCTTGACTGGGAAACTTTCCAAGTTAGATGTTGAAGCAGTGTTGCACCACATTTCAGATTGACTGATGCCACTGGTATGGCTGTCATAAAATTGACATCAAAAAATTCATTCCCCTACTGGTTCAAAGGATTTGGTCATAATTTATTATTCACTCTCCTGTACCAAAGCCGTGACAGATGCCCTTGATGTCGGATAGATTTTTCAGACTGAATAAATTCCCTCTAACTGAGGACTTTGCGAGGAGATCTAACACCATAACTAAATGGTTTTTGTGGTAGTCAAAGGTGTTTGCAGCACTAATTTGTGTTTTGAAGCCTTAATTTTACCCAGTTGTCCCATTAGGAAAACATTTAAATTTTGCAGTTACGGTATGGTGTTTAGTATTTTCCCATTTGATTTACCTTCACAAATGAAACATGTTTCTTAATTCCTTTTTTCCAGGACTGCAAAGAAAAGCAAGCATTAAAGAATACTGTGTGGGGCAATGTGGATATTCTCTTTCACCCTCAGCAGTCATCTTCCATGTTCCCCTGAGGAGCCTACCTTTGAACATCATCTGTGCTGCATTTCCCTTCTTTTTAGGAGCACAGTAGTATTATGACTCTTGACAGAGCATTCAGTATTCGACATAAACAAGTTTATCATTCAATACAGTGCCTAATTTTCCATCTTATTGTGTCCCATGTAGAGCCAAACAAGACATTGTGTGTTACTATGGAAACAGAGGCAGCCCTGAACCCATCCGTCTAAATCCAGGTCTGTGTTTTTAATATGGTTGCTGTAGAAACCATTCATTTCACATTTACCTCTTCTCTCTGCCTTTGGCCCGTTCATGTTAGCCTGACATTTCCATGTTGATGTTGCTCTCTGACTGTCTTTCCAAAAAGGACACCAACAGAGCTCATGCGTGTATGTATTTGTGTGTATTTTTCATATGCCCCTCAGCAGGAATCTATGGCCTCAGTAATTCTCTGCTGGACACTCCATGGAGGAAACTTCTGCAAGGCAAACGTCACTTCTCCAACGTGGTCAGTGACCAGTCCCTGTCCTGTGACGGACTGGTGCAAGAGCTGCTAAACGTCCTTAATAATGAGGAACTGTGAGTGATGAGCACCACTTAGACACTCTTTATCCCTATTTAAAACACAATACTAATACTATGCATCAAAATTGGTGTTTCGTTAGTTTTATTTTGACTTAGGGGCTTTATGTTACAGAACAGGTAGAGGGCATTTACATGTACAGTCCCTCCAACATGTAGTAACTTATTTTTGATTGAGCGTAGTAACATCCTGGAGTTTTGTCATCACCTGGAAGGTGTAAGGCAACCTGCAGAAACTTACTCAGACTATTTGTTAAATGGCGAAACTGTGCTGTACAGACTGCATAACCTTTATATTGTGGTCAATGTGCTTAGTTTTTGCTTCTAAATAACTGGTATAGATACTTAGTTTAAGGTTTATCTGATAGGTCTGTGGTGTTTTTGTCGTGTCGAGTTGAGTTTAGCTGCTGCTTCATCAGGCACATTTGTAAACTAACTGTTGTGTATATATTTTAAATAAATCAAGATGCAGCAACTGCATGACCTGTTTTTTGCCGGAGATATTATCTGAATTGTGGAGATGCAAGTCGAGAGAAAGTTTCCAAACAGCCTTCATCTTCTAGAGTTGAAAGTCATATTAATGTGTATATGTGATAAGGCAAATACTTGGCCTAAATATGTTGCATGGACTACGAGGTGTGTCAGAAAAGTTCCAGGATTGGTGTCACAAAAGATATATTTCAAACCAAAAAAGTTTTTCCCATCAGACGATCAACCAGCATGTCTACAAAGAGATCCTGCAGCATTTGCTTCGTTCAGTCCGCAAGAAGAGGCGAGAGTTGTGGCAGAACAAGACTGCTCAACACATCTGTTCGCAATGCCCTGAGCATCCGACAGTTCCTGGCTGAGAAGAACATCGCCGTGCTGGAGCAACCTCCCTACTCACCCCACCTGGCTCAGTGGGATTTTTTCCTCTTCCCCAAACTCAACGGGGTCATCAAGGGAACTCCTTTTGAAGACGTGGACGACATCAGGATGGCTGTGATGACGATGGTACAGAGGATCCCGGAAGAATCCTTCCAGGAGTGCATGGCAGCGTGGCAGAGAAGTCTGGGGAAGTGTGTTAGACTCCAGGGGGATTACTTCCAAGTAGAAAACTTGTAGTTTGTATTTGAAATATATCTTTTTGTGACACCAGCCCTGGAACTTTTCTGACACACCTTGTATATGACAGGGAATGGTGTATTGGAATAAACATCTGTTGTGGGTATGATTACCAGGAACGCACCTGATCCTGTTCAAGAGAGCCAGGGTGATGGCTACAGCAAGCACATGATCCAGGCTCTGTCAGCTGTGTGTGTTCGCTCCCCTCATTATGGCACAAGGTCAGTGTCTTCCACCCACGCCAAATCTGTTTCCTCTCTCTCCAAATATGGTGACTGACAGGGCTATGCTGGGCTGCAGGATCGCAGAGAACAGAAAACTGCTGGTACACGACAATCCCCAGTGTAATCAGTCCTTCACAGTGAGAAAATGAAAGGGGATTGTGTGCACTGTGATGGCACCGTGGATTAGTTGCTACAGCGACTGTCCTGCAGCCAAAAGGTCATAGGGTCAGCGCTTCCCACAGCCATCAATGCATCATTTAGCCAGGCTCTGCTTGCTCATTTTTGATAAGGGGCTAAAACCTCAAATTAGATTTTTTTTAAAAAGGTTTTGGTTGTCTTTAGTGTTTTTCTTTCCATATGAATTTTATTTTTGTATATTAATTCTGTAACTTTTGTGTCCCTGCCCATTCAGGACCAACACAATAATCCTGATAGATGCAGAAGGGAATGTGACTTTCACAGAGCGCACCATGCTCAACTGTGACACAAGCAAATGGAGCACCAATTCTTTCCAGTTCAAACTGCAGGCGTGAAGACATGATTGAGGAAACCCACTCTGTGCCTTTGTGCATCACACTCGCCCCCCCTTCCTCCAGCTGCACTTCACCATAGTAGCAGCTGTGTGAACATGAAGACTCATCTGCACTTTTTCATCAGCTAGTCACTAGCTGCCTCATCAGCATCAGTGATATGTACTTCTTATTCTTGATTTAAGTTAAAATACATCTCTTGAAAATGTGTGCTAATTTAAAATATTGCCAAAGGACATTTAGAATTTTGTTAAGGAAAATACTTTACCTACATGTCACAGAACAATAGGGTTGGGTGACTTCAAAAAGTCCAATCTATTACTTTGCTTTACTTTGATTGCTGGTAGCCACACAATTATTGTAATTCAGTCTAATTTATTCTTGTTGGAGTGAGATTTTTATTTCATTTAAATCCATGATATTGAGTGAATATACACTTTATGCACAATTTTCAGACTTCAGGTTGAAATAGCATCCTATGAGAATTCATTGAATCATCAATATTTTTCTAGAGAATGTGTAATCTGATTTAAATTCACAGTAATCGCCACATATAAAGGTTACTTATTACTTTTTAAGTCTCTGATTACCATAACTGTGTTACTGGTTTTTAAGTAGTTATGTCCCAACTCTGCACAACATCTGTCTCAATGTTGGATGCAACTAATATTGGAGTCTTGAATGAAATGAAATAGTTTCTGCCACTGGATCTCTGATTTCTTCCATGGCAGAATAATGCATTTTTACAGCTACTTGACAATAAAAATAATTTATCCAAACCCTCACATTTGAATTGTCATGTTTTCCAGTAACCACATGTTCAGTCACTTGTCAGGTGATTTTAGGCATTTTACTCTATATCTTAACGTAGCAGGCTTTCACTGTTACTAAATATATTTTTCTTCTGCACATTTTATTCATACAAGAGCTGAGACCGTAATTTAACAGGACAGATATTCCCACTTACTAACCTTAATTTAGCTATTAAGTGGTTTATAAATCTCGGTGTGAAAGAAAAAAAAAAAAAAGAATATCTGTTGTCAATTTAGAGTAACCCTCTTTACACATTGGACTATAAGGGGATGCATTTCACCAGCTGCGGCCTGAGTTAAAAGCAGCAGGTGCAAGTAAAAGCAGGAGTCCACGTTTGATAACATTTTTGATTAATATTTTAACACATTTTTGATCTCGCTACAGTTTTTACAAATAGTAGTTGCAGGATGCATCACAAAGCCATGTTTGATGTTATTAGTTACACCAGTAGTTTTCTTATTGTAGTTCAAACCCACAAAAATACACTACTTATCTCAACCAGTTTAAAATGCTGCTACAGTATTTTATTTCACTGTTTACCTTATGTAACTAAAAAGTGCCACCAGCATCCCTGTATTTTATTACTATGCTGTTTATTACTGCTGACCTACAACTTTGTGTGAACAGTGATCCCAACTGGTCAGTTAGAATATTGCATCCTTTAGGATCTACCGTACAGTCACTGTGTTTGCTGGACGCTCCAATGATGATTTAGCAAGTGTTGAGATTTCACTTCTGGAAAATAATGCAAATTAGGACATTTTAGGTTCATGTTGCCTTATTTAAACATGCAAATTGTGGGAGAAAAAAATCAGTGGTACAAAATATCAGAGTGTAATTGCAAGTACAGACAAAAATAATAGTAAGTAATCAGCTAAGAAAGTCAAAGATTTGAGTCAAAGATTTTGCCATGTTTACCTGTAGTCTCAACCCTTAAAAAAAGATATAGATTTCATGTTGCCGACATCAGTTCTACACTAACGATGCTCTGTATTAACATGTTGCTGATGTGCTGTAACGTGGAATGCTGTTGCCTCGATTGGTTGAATCTTCGGTGACGTAGAAGCAGCGGGACGCGATGATTGGCCCGCTGGTCAATCAATTATCAAAATGCCGGTACTAGGAGGCGGGCCATGATTTGGCTCGCTGCTGTGCTTTTCTTCAAGATGGCGGGGCTGCGTTTGAGGCCGTATGGCGGCGCGTCGAGAATAAAATAAATTAGAAAGGTAGCTAGGTGCCCAAGAGGAGACACCGGTGTCATATTTATCAGTGAGTACTTCTGTAATTCAATAACCAACCATTGTTTTGTGGGTAGTCGGCCTTTTCTTCAGTCGCTGATAGTTTTATATTAGCACATTAGCATAGACGCTAGCGTTACGAGGGGCCCACTGTGCAGCTGCAGATAGAACAGATGCGCCAAAGAAGGATCGTTCTCGATTTTGTTTTACGTTTTTGTTGCTTGTTTTGTCGACAAAATAAAAGTTAGGCATGCTCCTGAGCAAGTGGACCTGTCAGTTTTCTGCTGCTACGTAGTTCTAACAAATTCTAAGTTTAGTATTGTGTCATATTAGTTGTAAAGTTGCATTATTTGACATCTGTTCTCACTGGTCCCTTTTCCCAGCTCCCAGAAGATCGCAGTGGAGGATGATCAGTGCCTAGATCCCATAATAAGCTGAATGCATTGTGATTTCCAATAATTGAGACAGTGATTCTGAAAGCTGTCTACATTAATGAAAAGAACAATGTAGTCAGCTTAGCATATTCACCTCTGGTACGTGGTCTATACAGGGATGTGCTTCTGCATGTATTCTGGGTTTAGATAAGAAGAAAGTCTCTCATCAAGGTAGAATTTTAAAAATAAATTGTCAGTCTATATAAGTTGTAGGTCATATTTTTTGAGATAATGGAGATAGATGATGTTTTACCCCCTCTCCCCTTGGAGCCACCTGATGATTTTGGCCTAGACGAGGGCAGAGCACCTCCACCACCTCCCCTGCAAACGTCCAGTGACGCAGAGGTAATGGACGTTAGCTCTGGTGGTGATGGATACACATACACCCCAGGGGACGGGGAAGCCAAGACACAGCAGGCCCTCAGCAAGGGCTCAATAACTTTCTGTAGCCACCTCTCAGATGAGGCTAATCCCAACCCACCGTGCCCCAGAACAGCCCGCCACGCTCCCCCGGTCACCAAGTTTCTGCCAGACCTCAAGCTGCTCAGAGATGTTAAGATCAGTGTAAGCTTCACTGAAAGCAGCAGTAGCAAAGACAGGAAGGTGTTATACACAGGTGAAGGGCAGGAGGCAGGAAGTGAGGATGGTCTAGAGAGTGTCAATGGTGAGTTGCATGACTTGACTAGTGAGCAAGAGGCAGCTGAAGGTACCTCTGGAGGAGGAAACACTGCAGGCAGGGGGTCAGAGGAGACTGAGGTAGACCTGGAAAACAAGGTAGAGTTCGCTGTCCTGGATGAGTTGGATGACTTCTACGAGAACTTCCTGGATCATGACGATGGAGAGCAAGGTGGCTTTAAGTCTGAGGTCATAGTTCAGCAGGAGCAAGCAGATGACGAGACTGCGACTTACTCCTATGAGGTACGTCTGTTCTTATGTCTGCGGAATCCATTGTCAACTGCACAGTCAATTTATTCTTTACTGGTCAAACACGAATAATGTGTTCCTAATGAAGCCCACACTCTACAGTCCATACATAAGTGGGAATTAATGGCTCTCTGTCAAAACACAGCCTCCCTTGTCATTGCAGTTAGACCACTGTTTTGGTGTAATTTTACTGTCTTCGTGGTAGTATTTAACACTGAAGAGAAAGTAATTGTAGCTTCACATAATAGCTTTTTCAAATGCTATAAACTGATCTCAAAAAGTGTAGTACTCAAATTTACCTCCAAACCCATACATTTGTTGCACAGTGTACTTAGTGGTTAGTGGAAAAGCAGTCTAAAGCCCCTTCCAGACATGTGCTACTTTCCATTTATCTGACACCAACTGAACGTGTCTGCTTTATGTCACAATTAATACCCTGGTAACTTTTCCATGATGACAGCCGTACTTGATCAGACCTAGTACCATTTTAATATCACGTTTAACACTGCACAAGTGTGAACTGCATGCTGTTGGATAAACATATAGACATGCACAAGAACATAGTCACCTTGAGTTGTCTGAAGCTTTCCCTAATTTTAGCCACCGTCTTTGTTCAAAAACATCACAGACTCCAAAACATACAGTTTGCTGCCAAAATTTGCGCTATTCTTATTCACTTTGCAGCTCAATTTCATATCTGTCACCAATATTAATAAAAATGCAATTGTACTATTGACTGTCAACTGCTCATAGTTCCAAATGTTGAGTACAAAATACAGCATTTTGGTGACAAGTTTTTTTCCTTGACCACTCCAACATAGGTGGTAAAAACGAGATGCGTTTTACATTTATTGTGATGCTAGTGGATGTAGGACAGCATGGTACAAGGTAGCTATGAACTTAAGAGGGAGGGAAATGGAGGAATGTATAAAACTGAATAAATGAAACTCAGACATAATCAAAAAAGAAGAATCAAAATTACACATTTTCTTTCTTTGGCATTGCTTCACTTCAACCTTTTTGTTTATCAATAGCCATGACTGGTTAAGATGGGATCATATGTTCCTTTAATTATCAGAAATAAAAATATATTTATATTTTGTTTGTTCATTTTTTCATTTCTGAAAATGAGAAGTGTGAAGCTGGAAGAGGTCAGTGCCATTTTTAATTTCTCCCATTAAATGCTTAGTCTCCTTTTTATCCAAAAGTCATCAACAGTAATGACTAAGGAGGGATCAAACCAGCTGAAACTGTGTCATTTAATTTGTATGAGGACCTAGTGTTTGTTCATCATTATCAAATTCTAAATTCAGAAGTATTTTTATGCCCCGTAATCGAGCTGCTAATTTTTACTACTTCTTTTTTTATTTTATTTTATTTTTTTAGCTATAGTTCCAGTGTGGTTTGATTGTGTGTCCTCCAATTACCCTATTTATGACATTGCATCAGATTAAGTTTTTTCTCAATCAAGGCACTTAAAACTCCCTTAAACTAGTCCCTTCGTTGTCTGTCGGCCTGAAACACTGACTCTTCCAGGAGGAGTTTGACAATGACGTTGACGCTCTGCTGGAGGAGGGCATGCCGGTCCCCAAGAAGATGCGCCCGGCAGAGGACAAATATGGTGGGGACAGTGATCATCAGTCAGATGGTGAAGGAGGTGTTCAGCCCATGATGACCAAAATTAAGACTGTCCTGAAGAGTGAGTGGTGGATCTGTCTGTTTTTTACTGTCACTGAACAGACAGTTGAATGTGATTTCAGGACTATGAGCCACAAGACACTATGAACTAGCATGTGCTACATATGTGTGGTTTTTAATTGAACTGATACAAAATGTAGGCTATTGTGTTTTTTGTGTTGTGTTGCACATCTTTGCATGTTATTCAGATAACTTGCAATACAGACTCCCAAAAAATGGTTGACAGATGTGGCAAGATGTGTACAACCAATCAATCTTTAATCTTTGAAATATGCCTGCTGGTGTTAATAAGATGTTAAAACACTACATGCATGCAGGAACTAAACAGGTCAAAGAATTCTGTGGCAGATCATTGATCAAGTCTTTGCACAGAGTTCGTAACATCTTAAGTTGTTGGGGATTTCAAGTTTTTCAATTCTGTCTGGAAAACTTTTAACTTCAGTTTGCTCCACAAAAACTAGGCCAAATTGAGCAACCTCAGGCTCTTTTTGCATAAGAGACACGTGGATGAATTTGGACAAAGAAGTCTCCTTGTGTCTGTCATTTAGCCAGATTGAGATTTAAATAAAACTCAGCAGAAGCTTTTTTTTGTTGTTGTTGTTTTCTACTTCTGCCTAATGAAAACTCATAACTAACAATCTTTATTTCATTAAACACTGATGTTATTAAAGCTGCTCTAAAATTTGTTAAATACAGTTTACCACATTTGATCTAGCTGAAATGAAGCACAGCAATGCTCCATTTTTTTTCAATCACAGTAGTAAAAGTGCTGGCAGGTTGCATTTTAAGAAATTCTAGCCTGGTCCTTGTAGAGGGGCGTCTGGAGTGAGAATGCTTAATGTGGAACCTGGTGTGACACTAACTCAGCCCCCTCCCCCCTCCTCAATTGGGGGAAGAACAATAGCAGTTGTGAATTAAAGTCTCCACACTACAAACTGTCCAGAAATCAGTACTGGCTGTCTAACGTTGGTTTTAAACTGTTTAGTAACTCGCATGTTTGGTCCCAAAGTTGTCTTTAACAAGTTTCATACCTAAAGGAAGCTTAACATTAAGACTGTCCGCAGCATTAATTCCAAGCCTGATGGTAATGGTAGCCCAGTACGAATATCTCTTTATCACACAGCTAGGAGCATCACTTTTTTACTTCTAGAAAGGTTCATCACATAAAGTACCTGTGTCGTTGTAATGCCTGCATTTATATTTACTTTTCCCATGTACCAGGTCGGGGCCGTCCACCCACTGAGCCTCTACCTGATGGATGGATCATGACATTCCATAACTCAGGCATTCCAGTCTACCTGCACAGAGAGACGAGAGTGGTTACCTGGTCCAGACCCTACTTCCTTGGTACTGGCAGTATTAGGGTGAGTTCCAACACAAGTTGTCCCAAGTTTGTGCAGCAGTTTTGATCATGTTCATAGTTCTAAATTTTGCCTCTGCTTCTAGTTTGCTAACTGGTTACAACTATAGGTGTTGGTGCTGCTCAGTGTTCAGCATCTTCCACCAAAAGCCTCCACTGGACCCCTGTTTCTAGTTCTATCCCAGAAATTATCCACATCATACAAAACAACACACTTAGGTGGTGGTGGTAAAAGCTTCCAGAATTGTTTTTGTCGGAGTTCCTGTGGCATTAAGTCGGATACATGTTATAAGATGTTGATTTAAAGGGTTTTGTACTGAAAACATGCTTTGCTGCCAGTGTTGGTCAATGACTTCTGGGAAAAGCCAAGTTTCAACTATGTATTTTTACTATAAAATTGCCAGCACATTATATCGTTTTTCGAAATGGTCTATCACTTTAAGAACATTTTACAATTAACAAACGTCACCTCGAAAGACTTGCTCTATTTTAAGGTCATGGAAATGTTCCAGCCTACTTGTTGAATGTCAGGATAAAGTGGCAAACTTACATTGTGTAGATATTTTGTCACAATTCTCTGTTGTCTTTCTCACACAGAAACATGACCCACCTACCAGCAGCATCCCTTGCCTGCACTACAAGAAAATGAAGGAACAAGAAGAGAAGGAGCTGAACGGGGAAGTGACTCCTAACGCACAGGAGTCTCCCTCCAAGCCGGGGGAAGAGGCGAATGGTGAAGAGACGGCAGGAAAGTCAGATGCTACCACTGAGGAGCAGGACGCCGCCCATCCCGCCTGTCTCACTGAAGGTGGCCAGCAAGGAGAGGCTACCACTGACAACAATGTGCAGAGTAAAGAGTCCCAGCCCTGTGACACTGCTCAAGGAGCCTTAGGGCAGGTGAAGGCCAAGGTGGAGGTGTGCAAGGATGAGTCCATAGGTAAGAGCTTTTTTGGCAGTGATAGACTTTTTTTTGTCTTTGTTTTTTGAAAGGTTATTTTTGTGGTTTTGCTGCCATGAAAGACACGAACTAACTTCATGAAAAATCATTACAGAACTTGAAGATTTTCGTCTGTACCTGGAAAAATGCTTTGACTTTGAACAAGTTACTGTCAAGAAGTTTCGCACGTGGGCTGAGCGAAGACAGTTCAACAGAGACATGAAGAGAAAGCAGGCAGAGTCAGAGCGACCTATCCTGCCTGCCAACCAGAAACTCATCACACTGTCAGTCCAAGATGCTCCTACAAAGAAAGGTAGCAGTCACAGAGATTCATACTATCTGAGTTCCATACAGTTCATAGCTCGATATGAGATGTTCTCACATGTGTTACTCAAAGGTCTGCATCAGATTTTTAGGGTCAGCGGTCCAGAACAATTGGTGATGGCATTTAATAAACAAAATACATACAACATACACAGTAGGAGAAAAATGGCGTTGTTTGTCTGCAATCAGCTGCAAGTGAAGTGTGCAAACACCGCAAACATCACATCTCTCATGGTTGGGCAGCAGATACATCTCAGACAATTGGTCCCTATATTTTGCTGACTTAAAAGTATTGTTACATTCACATGAGTTGTAGAAATGAGAGACACCTCCTATATCTGATTTTAAAAACCTGATGGCAAATTCAATTATGTAACATTAATAAATGAACTCTGCAGCAACAGCACACATCCTTGTCTCCAGAAGTGCACGTCACACTGGCAACAATGTCATTGTAGGGGAAATAAGTCACATTAATTGCACAGGGTCTGCATTGACTCTGTTTGTTCCGGATGTAAAGCAAGGTCCAAAGCTTTTTCCAGAGTTTTTATAGTTTTTATAGTACAATGTTAGACTTGGCCTGAAGTGTATTGTTTGTTGATGCAGTTAAATTCCTCTGTTTTAACAGAATTTGTCATCAATCCCAACGGAAAGTCTGAAGTTTGTATCTTGCATGAATATATGCAGCGTGTCCTAAAGGTTCGACCTGTTTACAACTTTTTTGAATGTGGTAAGTTTTTCTTTTCTAATTGAGCTATTTTAAGTCATGTCACTTTTCTCATTGTTGCCTTGTCAGGAGTAAATTATTTTTTAAGACAAAAACCCACTTGTTCGTATTGTGTATCTGGTGGACAGTGTGGTGTGTAAATCTAGCATCCATTCTGTTGTTATCCCTCCACCCAAACTGCTTTTATCTCCTATAAATTAAAGTCTCTAGTTTGTTGCGGTTGAGTGTTTCAATGTATTCATGTCAAACTGAATTTCTGTGCCCTCACAGAGAACCCAAGTGAACCCTTTGGAGCGTCAGTCATTATAGATGGAGTAACTTACGGCACAGGAACTGCAAGCAGTAAAAAACTTGCCAAGAATAAAGCTGGTAATTCTGTCTACTTCCAGTACTAAGCACCGTGATTAGCTGGTTGATGTGTGTCACAACTGAATATACACTGTTAACTACTGTCTCTAAAAACAGCGGGATTGCATTGGAAGTTTGAAATCATAATTTGGATGTACGTTGTTGTTTCCAGATTGTCTCTAATTTGAGGCAACTGAATAGGTCTTTTATAAAGAATAAAGAACTAACTTTGTACTGATGTGGAAAACTGCAGTCCACATTATGTTGGTGATGGATGAAAGTCACTGGGATACACATACCTGATTTATGATTCAGGTTTTGCTAGATCAGCTAACATGACCTGGTCTGTTTTAGCCCAACTCCCACACACTTACTTTCCCCTCACAACAGCCTTTCATGTTATAGGTACCTTTTTATAATAGGCTATGATGCACTGCATACACTTAAGTTTTGTACCAGTGTGCCTATGTATATATTTACTATATACACTATAACAATTTCTGCCCTCATCGGTTATTTGTTGTGAACTGCAGCTCGAGCCACACTGGAAATCCTCATCCCTGACTTTGTGAAGCAGACCTCGGAGGAGAAACCTGTCGAGGGTGACGAACTGGAGGTACTTTTCATTGTTGGCATTTATCGATGTTTGTACTGGAAATTCTTTTTTGTGAAGTTTAATAAAGAGCGGTGAAGTTCAAGTAAGAATCCCCAACTGTAAAGGCGAGTTTTAACAATGAGTATTATTGCAAAAGGTATAAAGTTTGTTTTAAATGTAAACTCTTATGTGTTTAACTCTAAGTGTGCTCTGCCCCACAGTATTTTAATCATATCAGTATAGAAGACTCAAGAGTGTATGAGCTGACCAACAAAGCAGGACTACTTTCGCCATATCAGATTCTTCATGAGTGCCTTAAAAGGTAAGAGCTGAGGTGATTCATTATTTTTAGTATTGTAAATAAGTTATTGAGCTGGTAATGTGTTATGGTTATTAAATGTCTTTTAGAAATTATCATTAAGTCTGTTTGTATTAGTGATTAGCATCCAACACACAACCAGTGCAACAAATATATGCATTTGAAAGTATGGTCAAGTAACACAGTAGAGTCTGTCCTCATTAATGCAAACCTCAGAACTGCAAGTTGCTGTTGCTGCTTAAATCAGTTGTTCTGGGAACACCCAGGAACCCGATGTGTCTGGTTTAATTTGTTTGTGTGAAAGCAAATGTTTGTTCTTCATTACAGAAACCACGGAATGGGGGACACCAGCATTAAATTTGAGGTGATCCCAGGGAAAAACCAGAAGAGTGAATATGTGATGATATGTGGGAAGCATACTGTGCGTGGCTGGTGTAAGTAGACCCTAATTCTCACACTCCTACATCATGAGAACACATTGTTTGTACCGCAACATAGCTGGGTGTTAATTTTCAGTGAGTTCAACACACCCTTTCAGATTTCATTAAGCAATAGTTTTTACCTTTTATTTGAATGTTTACTTAATGAAGCTAACTTTCTTTTTTTTTTAAAAACTAGCATACATGAAACTTTCAGTGACAGGTTTTTGTCTTCTTTGTCGCCAGGCAAGAACAAGAGGGTTGGCAAACAGCTAGCATCTCAGAAGATCTTGCAGATGCTTCACCCCCATGTCAAGAACTGGGGCTCACTGCTGCGCATGTATGGCAGAGAGAGCAATAAGATGGTCAAGAAGGTGAGAATCCTCAAGTTTTCTTTAAAAAGCCACTGTGATGAAAGTCAAGTTATTTTTTTAACCTTGTTAACATGTTCCTATTGTGGTTTTTAGGGTTAGGGTTATGGTATGCTTTAAGATGCGTCATGAGCAGTTCCTCCTTGAAGCTGCAGTGCACTGATGACGGTCTCAAAAACATGCTTTCAGACTTTGAGATTTTATATGTAACAAACCTAAAGAACCAATTCTGTCAGCTTGCAGTGTGCGTTGTTCATTTTTCTTCAGAGTTAGTTTCCATCCATCCATCATCCGCTTAATCCTCACTAGGATTGCGGGGGGCTGGAGTCTATCCCAGCGGACTCAGGGTGAAGGCAGAGGACGCCCTAGACAGGTCGAATTAGTCTCCAGTATGACTGAAACAACTCTCAACGGATGGAATTAGCCGTGTGCTAAATCCGGCATATTTACTGCAACCTTGTGATTGTACATTCGTTATTATGCACTGTCCCATCCAGATAAAGAAAGAAAGAACAGTAATAAAGTGTTGTTTAATGCAAAATCTTAAGTGAAGCGTAGTTCTGCAACAGTGTAGTCACATCTGAATCACTCTTAAGGTAGGAAGGGAGTATTTTTATGCAAAAAGAACACTTTTAAACATTTAATTTTGATTCACAGAAATGAATGTTTAGGGATTAAATCCATGACAGGAGAAGGATTTCAGTTTTCCTCAGATAAAAAAAATATAAATGAGAAAATGAAAATTTAGGCTTTATTCTTCAACAGCTTTTCAATATTTTTTGTTTGTTTTAAAATTGTTATATGTATCTTAAAAGCATAATTCTGGTTTTGATAATTGCAAAAATTTGTTGTCCAGCTCACAGAATGCTTCTGCCAATACAAATCTTTAAAATGTCTTTTATTGTAGTTATAACTGCAATTGC